GACCCAGCTTGCCTCAGCTACGGTGTTTGCCACGACACGATACTCGGCCTCAGCACTGGAGCGGGAGGTGGTGGCCTGGCGCTTGGAGGACCATGAGATAAGGTTGTCTCCAAGGAAAACACAGTACCCCGAGGTAGAGCGACGAGTATCGGGGCATCCAGCCCAATCAGCATCGGAGTAGGCCTACAAAGAATCTGTGCCCGTACGGTGAAGTGTGATGCCATGAGTAGCAGTACCATGAATGTACCGTAGAACCCTCTGCATGGCTGTGAGATGGGTGCTGCGGGGGGCATGAAGGTGGAGGCAGAGCTGCTGGACTGCATATGTAAGATCAGGCCGAGTGAAAGTAAGATACTGTAAGGCGCCGACGATGGATCTGTATATAGAGGGGTCCGGAAGTGGTGTTCCGGACGTGGCTGACAGCTTTGCTTTGGTGTCGACTGGTGTAGAAATGGGCTTGCAGTGGAGCATGTTAGCACGTTCCAGGATTTCATGGGCAAACTGTGTCTGGTGAAGAAAGAGGCCGCTGCCAGTGCGTTGAACATTGATCCCAAGGAAAAATTGAGGTCCCCCATGTCTGTCATGGCGAACTCTCCCTTAAGTTTTTGAGTAAGGCAGGTGAGGAGAGCAGTGGAGGAGGCTGTGAGAACTATGTCGTTCACATAAAGGAGAAGATAAGCCATGTTAGAGCCATGAGAATAAACAAATAGGGATGTGTCACTTTTGCAGCCCCGAAAGCCCAACGTGAGAAGGAAACCTGCAAACCGGTGATACCAAGAACGCGGGGCCTGCTTGAGCCCATATAGAACCTTCTTCAACCTGCATACAAAATGTGGGCGAGCGGGATCCTGAAAACCTGAAGGCTGGCAGGCATAGACTGTCTCATGGAGTGTACCATTCAGAAAAGCATTCTTGACATCTAGCTGATGAATCGGCCAGCCGCGAGATAAAGCAAGAGTGAGAACAATCCGAACCGTGGCTGGTTTAACAACAGGGCTAAATGTCTCGTCGTAGTCGATGCCATAGCGCTGATTAAATCCACGAACCACCCATCGAGCTTTGTACCTGGACAGTTCACCTGTAGGACCAAATTTGTGGCGAAAAAGCCACTTGCCAGTGATAATATTTTGGGAGGGGGAGGGGGGTACTAATTCCCATGTTTCGTTTTTAATCAAGGCATTAAATTCATCACACATAGCATTGTACCAGTTTTGATCCTTTAGTGCACTACGATAGGTGGGTGGGAGTGGGGAAATTTGGGCCATGGAGTTAAGGTTAAGGATATGTTTGGGCTTAGATATGCCGACTTTGGACCGGGTGATCATAGGGTGAGTAGAAGTAGGAT